CTCTTAAATATGCCAGCTGAGAAAACACTTGTGAGCTTGTGTTTACAAAGGAGTGAAACTGATTTTGTGAGACACACAACTCACACTCCGTTTTATGTCGTATTTAGTGTATGCTGCACCTTGTTTTAGGATAACTATTATAATCAGTAGGAAGCCTAAATCATACGCCAATCATATTTGTCTTTTTTTTTTTTTGGTACCAGGAATCAAACTCACAACCTCACGCTTGCCAGGCAGGTACTGTACCACTGAGCTACATCCCTGACCATGTATTTGTCTTTTTAAAAAATGCCTTCCCTCCAATTCACAAGGCATTGTAAAAATACAGTGAAAATGTCGGCAATTTAAAAACAATTTATTGCAGCAAAAGACACATTGCCGTTAACCCCTTTCCCCCAATATTCCCTCTCACTTCGAACACACTCATCCCATCATTCTTGCCACTTTCTGAAGCAGTCCTGGACGTCTTGTTTTGCAAGTTTGTCTTTAGTTGCACCACCGTGGCTATCTGGATGCCATCAATTGATTTAAAACATCTACCTGTCATGGACATTTTGACTTTGGGGAAAAGTCAGAAGTTGCAAGGTGCCAGATATGTTTAATATGGTAGATGACGGCACATGGAAATGTTTTCGTTTGACAGAAATTCCTCTAAACATTTTGAATGGATTCAGGACATCAAGGTAGCCATGAAAAGTCAAGAGAGAGGACTTCTAGAACTGCTTTAGAAAGTGGCAAGAAGGATGGCATAAATGTGCTTGAAGCAAGGGCAAGTATTTTGAGGGAGATCCATAGCAATGTGTCTTTCATGGAAATAAATTTTCTAAATGTAAACATTCACTGTATTTGTTGAACATGCCTCAAATACATAGTAGTTATCAGTAATTTCACTCTGTACTTTACATCCGGAAATATATTGGTAAGTTCTACATGCACTGATCTCTGTCCTGGTCCCCACCTACCTCCCCCAATGCAAAGGATGCTTAGAATAACCGACTGCATCACATTATTTTAGGAAACAACCTGTCATAGATACAGAACATACATAGACACAGACATAGAAGCCAGTGGTAGCTCTAATCAGCAAAATATCTCCAGCTCTGGAAATAAGACCTCAGTATGAACACGGAGTGACACCACCATTTCTTCTCAAGGGTCCCTGTCAGCGTATAAAGATATTCCCCCAGTTTGTTTCCGCATCCTATTTAGGCCTTGTACAGTGTAAGCGTTAACTGTGATGGAACCTACTCCCCACTGTGCTTAGCTAAGCTTCATGCTCAACGTGGTATAGTCAGGGCTGGTGAAATTCAGAGTATGCGGCCTGGGAGTGTGGGCTGTGCTAAGACAACTTCCAGGGCCTGCTAGGAAATCCAACAGAATTCAGCTGGGTATCCTGATGCCTTCAACAAGCCATCCAGCCCTGCTTGACTTATTAGGACTGCCAACTTCTCTCTTTAGGCAGTACACAGTTTGCCTTCCAGACCAGCTTCAGGTCTGGAGTCATCACATACAGGAGACTGAAAGAATCTTTCTCAGAACAACTGGTCATTGCCTGAATTTTTCTGGTCATCGACATGTCCATGAACCACTTAGGGAAATCTGAGTTGCACACTGGTACACTAATGGGGCCAGTGCCCGGTGGTCTTACTAAAGTGGGGGAAACGTTAGACTAGAATTTGACTTTACATCAACCTTTTTGTAACAAGTCCTACTCTCAACACTCCTGGGTGGTTTATGGACTCTCAATATTTATGCAGATTCTTAAAGCCATGTCAGACGTTTAGCATGCTACAAATTATTCTCTTCATTCTTTCCTATATGTATGTTCTGCCTCAAAGTAACTTAGAGAAAGTCTGGACAAATGGGGAAAATATGGTCTTTGGAATTTGCCTCTTAACTTCTTTACTTGCAAAATGGAAAAACCTTATTTTTAAGGGATTGTTGTAAAGGATTAAATGCGTATAGGACTTAAAAAAAAGTTTCTTCCTTCCCCTTTTATATTCTTGAGATTGTTGCTGACAGAGTTGCTACATATAAATGAATGAAGATGAACTCTATTTTCTTAATTTTTTTTAGGTTTGCTAAAAGCACAAGAAAAGAGATGGGAAAGAATGAGTACTACATGTAGTCATACGCTACAAAACGACGTTCTGGCCAGTGAAAGGCCACAGGTGTGACTGCGGTCCCGTAACATCCCATCAGCCGGTGGCGCTGTGGCCTTTGTGGTGTGTGATGTGCCCTGTGACAGTCCCAGGGCGATGAAGCCTCCTAATGCGCTGTTTCTCAGAACGCATCCCTGTTGTTATCTAAGGCATGATTTTTCTATCTATGAAGTCAAGCAAATGGACGGGGAAGAAATGAGTAGCTAGAATAAGCCAAAAAAAAAAAAAAGTTTGAGGATGATAAAGAACCAAGAGGGGAAAAAATGAGCAGCTAAACAAGTTAAGCCTCTTATCAGAAACAGTTATAAGCATAACTATTACACATTTTCAGACCAGGATATTTGAGAAAGAGGATCATTTAACTAGAATTTCTATTATCGTGAAGCAGGGTTAGCCAGAAAACACTAAACAAATATGAGATATGGTTTCAAACCTCATTCCTAAAAAAATCTGTAATGAATTAAAATGCACTTTACTGAGTTGCTGTTACACAAAACACAGTAGGACCACTGAGGATAAATGTTTAGGTAACGTTTTAAATATACCACTATGCAAACCATACTATGACGTGTGCTACGTCTGTGCTGACTGTAAATCCTAACCGGAAACTGTTTTCTGAACTGACATTGTTTGAACAGCAGAACACAGCAGGGGAAGGACTGAGCTAAAATTAGAAGGCATCAGTGCTACTGGGGGCCATAGATCTGAAACCTAAGTAATACTTATTTCTTAAAACTGCAGTACTTCTATTCAACCATAGAGGATAAACTTGAGGCATTTTTAGATAATCAGATAGACCTTGAGACCATACTCTTAAGTGAAGTAAACTGGACAAACATGTGACTATCTAACTATGTGAGAAACTGAAAGTATAAATGAGAACCAAAATGTATGATAGATATTGTGAGATAGAAAGAAATTGTTCAAAATGAAAGGGGACCTGGGGGAGGGGATGAGAAAAGAAGGGTAAAATGGAAACAAAGCTTTATAAATAAGGAGGGGAAGAGGGGCTGAAGGGAGGGGAGAATGGGGGAAAAAAGGAACCAAGATATATCATGTACAGGTACCAATTCCCTATGATGAATGTGATCACTATGTTTATCTAAATGATACCAATAAATTTAATAGTAATAAAAATAGAAAAAAGTACAGTACTTCTGAAACATGCTAATGGCACAGATACCAGTAAAAATCAGAGCCACAAATCAGCAGAAGCAGCACATCACAGATGTACATGCAGAGACTAATGGAAAAGTTATAGTTCCTTGTGAGTTCGAATTGCACCTTTGACGATACATTGCTTATGAGAAACTTACTAATACCATCATATAAATGATTTATTTCACATATTTCCCTGTTTCCAGGCTTCATGGCCCAGCTGTAGTTCTGCCTGTCACTTAATCAGCCAGGACGACTTAGGTCAAACTTTGGTTTCTTTAGTTACAAAATGAGCTACACTGCTGGTCTTGCTTCCCATCTAAAGAGGATCAAATAACTTCACATGAAATATAAATGCCTCTCCTCATCAAGGGCAGAAACTGCGCTTTAATTCCTTCTCTAGATATTTCAATCTCTGGCCTCTTCACAAAGCCAGGCTCACTGAGTCAGTGCTGGCAAGGACAGTTACTGCCAGGACTGAAAGGTTCTTCAGTACAAACTACCCAACTGGAAATGAGTCACGGGGACTAGGCTGACAATTTTTATCCCAAACTTTTTGTTCTTTTTACATCGGTAAACCACGGTTTCTAACGGGAACATGATTTCCGATGCTCTGGAGGAGGTGCAATCTACAGCACTTTCCCACTGATGTAGTTCCAAGATCTCCTTCTCCTCCACGGAGCAGCAGTCTTCTAACTGCCTTTATCTACTCTTGGCCGCTTCAGTCTGTTTCCGAAGCAGGTAGAGGGACAGCCTCAACTCCATCACCCCTGCCCTTACACTTTCCAGCTGCTGATCACCGCAGCAGTACACCCATGCCCTGCCTGGTCTGGCTTCTGCCAACTTCTCCAGATTCCTCCCAAACTTTTCTGCATACGTTTTGCTGCAGCCCCACATATAGTTCTCTCTCTGGCTCATATTTTAGATCCACACCTACAGCATGCTTCCACAGAGAAGCCTTCCCAGACCCCCCCTCCGTTTGGCTATTTGCCTACTGTATGCTTCCACAGCCTCTGTTTCTCATGTCTTTAATGGCATTAATTACAGTTCACATCTTTGTAACTTTTTGGTTGAAGTCTGTCTCTCTGGCAAGTCGGAAGCTCTACCAGGGCAGACGTCTTGTCTATTGACCACTGTTGTATCACCATGTAGACCAAACAAGAGGCACTTAACTGCCACATGAATGATTTTATATCCATTCCCACTCTTCTGCACAGTTTGCTTTATAATGCATCACATGTTTACCAGCAGGTTTGAGGTGTATACTTAGAGCTATTCTAAGTGGGAAAATCTGTTTTTCAGTGGTTGATGAAAGGTCAATTTAAGTGGTTCAGTGAAGGACTGATGAAATTTGTTTTTATGAGCATATTCTAAATTAAGTACATTAAGAACAGATTTACTAGGAGTGATTAGTATGGTTAGATATTGTCCAACAAAAAAGGTTTTTTTTTTATACTTTTACTTTTCCAAAAAGAAGAAAAACCTCCCAAATCCCATGAGCACACCATCATGCACGGCTTGAACGGCATTCTTTCTGTCTTATGCTGTTGGTGTCACCTGAATATATGCGGTAACTCATTCCACCTCTGCCCTTTTCAAGTTCCATGCTCCTTGGATGGATCAAAAACATCACACACCTTCAGACCACAGAAGAGACACAGTCTGGCAGGCTTTTCTTACCTTTTCTTCTGAGTCCCCAGGCTGACAGGTAATTACTCCATCTCTGGATCCTCCTGCAAATGTTGCCTTACAATTTGCAAGCCACTGTTTTCAGAAAAAGAGACAGACACAGGTAAACTCAGGGATGTCTGAGAACATTTAAAATATGAATTCTTTTGGGAAAAATTTATCATGCTTCTCATGGCAAGATAAAATTTTGCTGTACATTGAGGTTTGCCCAAGAACATTTAAAACATGAATTCTTTCAGCAGTAATTTATCATGTCTCTAATAATAGAATAAAATTTTGCAGTAATGACTTGTAGGAAATGCTCACTTTTAGGGGTTGAAATTAAAATGTCTTTTTGGGATCAATGATGGCTGTTAAAAATACAATTTCAACACTGTGATATAGGGCCAGAGATATAGCTCAGCAGCACAAGCGCCTGCCTGGCAAGTGCAAGGTCCTGAGTTTAATTCCTGGCACCAAAAAAAAAAAAAAAGTTAGACACACTGTGAAATATCTCTAGTTCACCAGACCATTCCTAATTTATGTATAAATGAAGAAGAATAGCATTTGTGGTCAGGAACTTTTCACATGATTGTGATAAGGTGGTTTATAGGCGGCAGGTCTCCTCTACTCTAAGAATGGCGATTATACCAATAGCTCATCTGTTTCAGGATTCTTCCAGTGTTAAGCATCTGGGATAGTAACTCATACAGATGTCAAAGGGAACCATGAGTACTGAAGAACTGAATTCATACCAGCATCAATAGGTTAGTCTAGTTCACTAACTAGGATGAAAGGATTGTTTTTATCAACTGATGTCCAAGAAGCTGGCAAATAATGATGGATGAAGAGCCATAGAAATAGACTGAATTGTTATTGTGGAATTTAGAATTCTTACCCTTGGGCAGGTCCTGGGAAAATCAATAACAACGATAGCAATAAATAAACCCAAACCCATATGCTTTAGAATGAGCACCCATGTATGTGGTGTTGTGTTGGGTAGCTTACAGATATTAGTTCTCTCTTCAAGAAAATATTGTTAGGAACGTGAACCTTTGAGTCACAAATCTGTTTTTCAAGCCCACCCTTCTACTTCCTAGGGAATGAGGACAGCAGTAGTGACACCTAGGGCAGTTATCAGCATTAAATAATTTAACTGAAGGTGTATCGTTCCTAGAGGCTGCTGAACTCTTAGAAAAGACTCATAAAATGATAACTGCTGTGACTACCGTAGGTCTCACATCCTTACAACAATCCAGGATCACGGCCCCTTAAATAACTGAGCTGTGATCTGAACCGAAGTTCACCTGACTTCAAACTCCATGCTCTTTCTGTAGTGCCTGGAAGACAGACATCAATACATGTTACGCAGTTACTGAACCACTGTGTTCTCTGGCATTGTCGGAAAACAGGTGTTGTACAGACGGTTTCTAGAACACTTCTGTCTCTAATATTTTGTCATCTAGATCTATGAGGGCAGAAAAAAGTGAAGAGAAACAGCCGAGATGGGGCGGGGGGAACAGCTGCCTGAGCAGGCAAAGGGGGAGATGAGACTGATCATGACTGCTAGTCTTGAGCGAGGCTGACACTGGGAGGAACTAGTCAACCTTTCCAAATCTCTCAGAAGAGAAAAGTCGGAACATTAATAAAAAGACCTACTAAGCAGGTCTGACCTCTTGGTAGAAACACTAGGGGCCTCAAAACCAAAGCTGAAATTTTTTTCTCTTATAGGCTCTATTTCTATATAATCTGTAGATTTCTGCATTCTGCCACCATTAAATTGGGCTTGTGAACAGGGGAGAGGATGAGGTCTGTCCTCTCCCTACAGAGCCCATCCTGGGCTATCCCCACATTGACCAGGAACTCGTAACAGTCACAGTCGCTTTCCACTGAAGGCATATGCTCAGAAACATGAGAGCTTACCGAGAGGGTGGCCTCTTTTCTATTGTTGTAGGTATCCAAATATTCTTGCAGTTCTAAGACGCTGAACTTGAGCTTGTCCAGAAGTCCACACGAAAGGAGCTAGAGACAGGAAAATAATTGGTATTAAGACGTCCAGGGAGATACCAACACAGCAGCATGGCTGCATGGATAGAGACGCTTATTTAGAAGTCATGCAAAGGGGGCCAGTGCCATCCTTTTTAATAATCTGTGAAATCTATGACTCTGTTCTACTGTCAGTTGCAGTTACAATGAATACTAGCTTGTGAATGAGTCTGCTAGGAAAATGTCTATTTTTTTAACCCATCAGTACAGGCAGAGAAGCCTTACTAAGTATTCCCCAGAGGCTCACATAGTATGATATACTTTTTTTTTTTTTTTTTTGCATGAGCTCTACTCTTGTCATGCAGTGATACTCCAAGTGGTATGGAGTCATAATTCCAAAAAGACTCACACTGATTTTATCTTTATTTTAAGGCATTTAAGGGAGGATGATTTCTGCCATTCTGTTCCTTGCTGTGGGGCAACCAACCACAATGTGGTTCTTGGAAAGACTGACTCTGCAGACTTTATAAACCTAGTTATTCAGCCTGTACGACTGCTCTGTGATGTGACATAAAGAAAGGCCACCGACAATCCTGCCCTCAAAGAGCCTGTCAGTCTTGCAGGTTAGAGTTAAATTCGCAAAGCTGTGCGTCAGCAGTCTCCCAGAGACTGTCTCAGTCATCCTCTGAAGTTAGTGTTCATGGCTGCGGAGGGGGGACACAGAGGGTAATGAGTCTCCGAGTCTTGTGGGTAAGAAAAGTGATGAGATGTTGACACTGGAGACCCAGAGCCTGGGCCAGCCTGGCCCGGTCAGCTCTGGGGTTGAAGGGTACTCAACAGCTGGCGGCACCAGAGTCATCACGGAGGTGCCACGGACATGGTAACAGCAAGGAGGTGGATCTCTTCCCCTGATTCTCTGAGGTGCCTCTGTCTCGGCCTGTGCTGGTAATGTGCACCCTGTAGGCCCGAGGCCTCCGCAAGTCAGAGCACACGCACAGCGCCGCCTGCCACACCGCCTGTCCTTACAGCAGCGTTCCACAGGCTCGCTGCCACAGCCTGGGCTCCTCCTGGGGTACTCACAGTCTCCGCATCCACAAACAGTGTCGGACATTCCGAGCAGGAGGTGAGCATCTGGGAGGAGCTAACGAATTTGGATCCAATTCCCCGGAGGTTATCTCCGAGGTAACTGGCGGCATCACAGGTCAGGAAGCAGAACCTCTTCTGAATATTCTGCAAGGCAAGGTAGTGATCATTTGCCAAGGCCAAAGTCAACTTACATACTGGGAAAAACTACTTTTGTGTGGGGTGGGACTTTTAAAATCTTTTTACTTATTATTTTAAAATTAGCAACACTTTAGGAGGCTGAGGAAGGAGGATTGCTATGAGATCAGGGCCAGCCTGAACTACAGAGAGACCCTGTCTCAAAAGAAAACAAAACTATTTATTATACATATATGTCATTTTGAAATATATTTGTATATATTTGTATATGCATTGTAGCATGGCTGAATCTTAACATATGTATTATCCCAGACTTATTTTTTTGTGGTGAGAACACTTAAAATCTACTCTCTTAGCAATTTTTAATTGTTAATCATGCCTGTAATCCCCACCCTCTGGAGGCTGAGGCAAGAAGACTGCAAGTTTGATTCTAGCCTGACCAACTTAGTAAACCCATGTCTCAGAATAAGGACTGGGTTGTAGCTCAGTGCAAAGGCCTTGGGTTCAACTGCAGTAGTGTGTGTGTGTGTGTGTGTGTGTGTGTGCGCGCGCGCGCACACACACACACGCACGCATGTTTTTCAATCTTTTTGAAAACATCAAATGAGCATGAGTCCTCCGGGGAGGACGTGGGGAACACAGTGAGGAGGACAGCTTGGCCGATCTGTTCATGGTCCTAATGTCACAGCCCCCTAGGACTGGGGATGCCAACAACAGCTAGAATGGTGGAGGGGAAAGGTACCTGACAGCATTTGAGGCCAACATATCCATAAGACTACTCTGAGGAAGGGGAAGCCATGAAGGCAGGGTAGAAGAGCGTGTTAGAGTCAAGGAAACATAGCAATGTTGGGAGGAAGAAACAGGGCAATCCTGGAACAAAACAGTGAGTCCCTTATTCAGTCAGAAGCTGGGCCTCTCATCAGGGCGTCCGTGCGAGGCACGTCGGTGAGCCGTACCTTAAACAGAGAGGAGAACACATGAAATGTGTACACCGCACAGGAGCCGTCCGAGTCACACATGAGCTGGTTGATGTGGCTGCGCCAGGCCTCCTCGGCGTCATCGCAGGCTGCAGGCTGAAAGGCAGCAAGGATGGCGGAGAAGAAAGGCGAGGGAGGGGGAGAGACGCTTCTGTCACCTTCTCCGAAGCTGGAAGACACAAAAATGACTGCTAAGAACTGATGTCCTCTAGCCGGTTGTACAAATGCTAACTGGGACTGTCTGGCCTTCTTTTCCCTTTGAGGATACTCTGGGGCCTGGTTTTCATCAGAGGTCTCTGATACTTTTTTCTCATTCTAGGAAATAAAATTTTCACCTCGAGAATTTCTGTGATTCCACCATTTCTGATTCCTTTATCCACACTCAGTATCTCTCAAGCACTCAGCAAACCTCTGGCTTTCCCAGGTCCCACGTTTCCCCAAAAGAAACATCTGTCCCTATGCTTTGGCACTTCCACTCCTCCTTATGTGCTATGAAAAATTACAGCACAAATTTTGATTCTTTTAATTTTTCCTTTGTATGTAGAGAGGATTAATGAATGCATATGTTTAAATGCCCAGAATACAAAG